TCCCTTTGTGGAGCTTGTGAATTAGCACTACACATTCAACATGATTTTTCCAAAGTAGGAGGTTGTTTTCTTAGAGCTTGATTGATAGCTTTGACACGAAGGTGTTCGAGGATGTTGAATTTGCGAATTGTGAAGATGCGAGTTGAGAAGATTGAAACATATTTTGTGAACTTGGGGGGAACTTTCAGGGTCCTCCATTAAGGCTTCTATGAAGCTTTAAGTTGTAACTTATTTTCAAAAGCGGAAGAGAAGATAATAGAAGCAGAAGAGACCCCTTAGACATATGAAAAAATATTGAATGAACAAGGAGACTAAAGAGAATTTCATTAGAAGATGTTATTGTAATTGTTGATATTAGTTCATTGATTTATAAAGGAATAATGTGGATACATTTATATGTGGCATATAGTTACTTACAAACTAACTAACTTGCTTAACTACCTAAACCAACTATGTATAAATTTTACCAAAACAATTATGCTATTTTATTTACTTTAATACCATTCATATATTTACTCTAATACCATTCATATTATTTACGATATTATTTTTTTTAATGTTTAATAATTATTTTTTTCTCTTTTTTTTACACAAGTAAATACATATACATATTGTGTTTTATACAGTGTAAATATCTCGTGTTTGATTTTTGGTGTTAAAATAGCAACCCTCATATAATAAATCATAACAGACTCCTGAAAAAATAAAGACACTCCCACATAAACTTCAAAAGTCTTACCTAATGTTGTAGATGTCAAAACAGAGATACAAGCATGATAAGCTCCACATAAAAAAAATAACACATAAACAACTTCCATAGAGATTTCAAACTCTTCGCCCCTAAATCATTGGCAACCAATAAAAATAGATTGACTCAAACGCCTACTGACCATAAATCACAACAAAATAAAAATGGCCTAAAACCTCTGCTCACATCAAAGTCCAACAAATAATATGGGCAGACTGATTTCTAATGAACATGAGGTGCAACCTGTTTATTAATTATCACTTCTTACTGCATAGCCCCCTAAATCAAACCAAAATAAATTGGGGGCAGGCCACCAAACCCAACAAAATTGATGCAAGGAAATAACTCATAAACAAGACCAACACGCTAGACTTGGGACTGGTTGGAAATTGAACAAGAAAGATAGCATGCAAAACACTAGATTAAGTGACTTGTTGCACACATTGCATAAAGATTTGTTGCTGCAACCTTCATAAGGATTTCCTATAAGAATTTATTTCGGGAAAATGTAATGAAATTTGAAGGTATAATTAACTTCCAGGATACCTTGAATTTTGGTAAATATTTTGAAATTCCTTTGCTTTCTGGTAGGGTCACAGATGTGAATTTCCCCTTTATCATTGATAAAATTAATTCTTTTTTAGCTAGATGGAAAGGCACGCTTCTTAGTAGGCTTGGGAGGATGACTCTTGCTAAGTATGCGCTTAGATTTGTGCATTTTTATACCATGCATAATTTGTGGCTTTATAACACATTTGTAGTAAGATTGATTCTTGTATAAGATAGTTCATTTAAGGAGGAAAATTTGGTCACTAGGTTAAATGAAATACCATAACTCAACCTTCTACTAGAGGTGGTCTTGGCATCAGGAAAGCTGGACATGTTAATGTTGTCATGTTGGATAAACATGTTTGAGATTTTCTTCACAATCGTAACAAGTTATGGGTTCAATTATTGTTCAAATAGATACAATTATGTAGTGTGCATCCTATAGGTGAATAACTATTAAGGAGCATCATACACCATACATTTTCTAAAGCAACTGGGGCTCTCAAGCCGGATTTTATCACTAGAGTAGGGAGAGGGGACATCTTTATTTGATGTGATAAATGACTCGCAAATGGTAGAATTTGTGACAGAATTCCTTCGATAGATGAGCAGGATATGCACCTACATATCATGGATGGCTGTAATTATGGTACTTGAAATTTTGACATCATCTTCATCCATCTTCCTCGGAACATAAAGATGGATATGGCTAGTGTCTTTACTAATGATGACTCAGATGATATTATTATTTGGTAACCTTTGGTAACACATACTTATTCCATTAAATCAGCTTATTCATAGTTAACGTTGGAGCTCAATTCACCTCTTATTCAGAAAATGACTTGGTCTTGGATTTGGAACCTCAAATTACCTAAAAATATTCGTCTTTTTGTTTAAACTATCATACATGAGAAGTTACCTACCAACTATACACAAGTCCCTCATCACATGTCAACAAATGCCTTTGGTTATAGATGTGGTGCAACTAATAGAATCATCTTACACACTCTTAGAGATTGTCCTAAGGTTGTGCAAGTTTGAAACATTTTTTCAGTTTTCCATCTCGAGTTCATTTTTATGGAAATGGCATATATAATTGGATGAAAATTAATATGGTTGTCAATCATGGCCCTTTGTTTCTCATTTGTTGGATGATTTGAAAATCTCGAAATGAAGAATCCTTCAAAGACAGCAATCACTTTTACACTCTATCATGTAGGTTTTTGGTGGTTCTAATAAAATATCATCTCCTAGACTTGTGTCTTGACACCCTCCTCTAGAGAATGCGATAAAGGTCAATGTAGATGGTTGTTTCATGGTAATCCAGAGCCATCTGACTTTTGTGGTCTTGATATTGTTTGGAATCATGGTTTTAAAAATGTGTTTTGCAAGTTTAATCTCAAACGGATCTGAAGTTTATTTAATAGGATTGTCTTTAACTCATCCTTATGTGTTTCTGGTGGATTATGTTCAATCTCTTATTCATTAAGAGTGACAACTTCTTCTTATTCACACCTTACGCGAAAGAAATGTCAAGGTTGATTGACTTGCTAAACTTGGAGTCTCACGTGTTAAGAAATTGAGAATGTTTTTTATTTGTCCCTATTTAGCAGATTTTATGAAATTTCAATTCTCATAAAATTAATTTTTCGTTGTTTTTTGTCATTGATAAAAAAAACCAACCTGCACGATTATAAAAAAACTACACAGGAATAAGCAAACATCATTTCAGGATCATTTGAATTTGCAGAATTAAACCATGTACCGAAAAAATCATCTTAATCCTACAAATGGTATTGTAATCAAAAACCATTAATACATGTTGCATTTGAAACTAATAGATTTTCTGTGTAACCAATTCCATGACGTTTTGCTTTATCTCTTCAATCAAATTCTCAACACAAAATACCTTTGTTGAGATAATTCTTGACATCTTTTACTCTAAATTATTCAAACACAAGCACTCCAAATAGCCTTCATTCTCACCACTTATATCTTACCCCGCCTGCCACTTAGTCCTTTGAATTTGTCTAAATGTGCTTCACTATTATATTGAAATGATACGTTAACTCCTGGACAGCAACATAACTGTACCAAACTTTGACATTCGAAGTAAAGGTGAGTTCGCCTAAACGTGCATCACTATTTTATTTTATTTTGAAATCTTGATATCCGGTCTCGCGACTAATTAATCCAAGAAGAACAATTTGATTGTTCACTAACAAATATTCCATTAAAGTTTTGTATGGATTGACTCAACATAAAATTTGTTAGCACCTAACAGGATTCAAACTTCAGATCTTGAGAGGAGCACACTTTTAAGTAAAGATGAGTTGGTCTAAATGTATTTCACTATTTTATTTTATTTTTGAAATCTTGATATCCGGTCTTGTGACCGACTAATTCAAGAAGAACAACTCTTAATGGTTATGTGTATCACTATTATTTTGATCCAATACATTTCTTTAGCAAAAATCATGTTAAGTATATACTTTTGGAATATCTTTAGACCAAATCTTTTCTAGCTCAAGGTTTGAATTTAGGAAATTGTTTTGTACACCTCTTATGGGTGGAGAGATATTTCTGAAAACTCAAAAATACCATTTGGAGATGCATCTCCGAACGCACTATAAATTAAGTTGTTTTTGAGATGTATTTCCGAAAATAATTTGTTTGGACTTGGATGTTATATTTAAACGTGCAGTGATATTTTCGAAAATACATCTCTGAAACACCTTGATTTGATTCTTTCGGAGATACATCTCCGAAACCCTGGATAATGATATTTTTTGTAAAAAATCATCAATGTGTTGATAAATAATTAGATGAAAACGGTAATAAAAATGCAAATGAAAAATAATAAGACATAAAAAACGATAATATACACAATAAATTGTTCTAAAATTACAATAATTGTTCATAAATTGTTCTAAAAAAAAAAAAAGGCATAGCCTACTGCGTATGCATGATCCTCACTCTCTGGCCCCTCCTCTACCTACTGTATCCTGCCGCACTCTCTGTCTCTCCAACCACCCGCTCTATTATGGCCAACGCCTCAAGACTGCTTCGGTCAATGATACCTATGTCCAAAGCCTTCCGCCCAATCATCTGTATCCGCTGACAGATCGACAATAGATCAATGGCATGGTCATCATCGGCCTGCTGGTTCTCTAAGATCTCCTCGTGAGCTGGCCCGGGTGGACGTTCGAGAGCATTCGATGTCATGATAGGATGTGACACTGTGTAGAACCATGTCATGTATCTCTTAACACAGTTTCAACTACTGGTTGCCTGCATCACCCGACCCTCCTCAGGCATCATATGATTCTCTCAATCCTGAAAGATGGCATCGAGCTCCCGGCGGACAATGGTGCCGGGAGTAGCCTGAAAGGGAGATTTGGGTATGGCTTGCACATAGCCAAATTGCTGCATGCATCGCTCCGACAGATACTTGACCATAATGTTAGTCTCACATGCCAGTCATCCATAGTATAGTGAGATGGAGTCAAACTGGATAATCTCCCAGTGATCCTCGAACGACGTCCATAGGATGTCATCATGTGCATTCATATCCAGATACACCCGGAACGGTAGCACAACTTTGTTCCCTCTATGGGTGGCACACCAAACATCCCTCGGCATGTCCTCACTAAAATTCAGAGCAGAATCAAAATCATAGATGCGGTGGAAGTGAGAAAATAATTCAGCCCTGAAAAACGAATAAGATTCATGTAAGAACAAATTATAGTTATTAATAATAAATTAAATTCAATAGCTAGAATGATAATTACCGTCAGTAGTGTAACGGAGCCTGTCAGTTGTTGTGTCCTCCAGTTAGAGGCTTCATTCAGCTTTTGATACTGATATGCCAAACAGTCGGTCCCCCAGTTCCACTGCCTCACTGTATCCAAATCCATGAAGTAACAGAAGTATGCTACATCCACGTAGTTTGTGCTTTTATCCATGAAAATAGGTGTGGCAACCAAGAACATAAAGTAACACCTCAGAGCACACTGACAGTGATAAAGAACAAAGAAGTCGTCTCCCTCTGACTCAAGATCAGTTTCCGCAGAGAGGTGCTGGTGATATAGATTCTTAAGGAATGAGAACTTGGCATGAGTCCCATTGGTGGAGGAACACTGCTTAAATGTCTCTTCTGGTTTAGAACCCAGATAGTTGATCATCCATTAAATTGCATCACTATGATCGATCTGGAAGTGGTTAAGTAACATCCCTATGATAGGAAGGTGTAACATGCAGACGACATCATCAAATGTGATTGTCATCTCCCCAACAGGCAAGTGGAAATATGACGTCTCTTTGTGTCACCTCTTGACAAATGCCTCGTGCATGCCGTGGCTGATGGTGCTGTAACCGGAACAACAAAGACCGGCAAGTCCGGAGCAAAAATGGTCTCTCTGAACCAAGCCGCATCAGGGTGATGTAGCTCGAATATCTTTTGTGCATGGTTCACACACTTTAGTGGTCGTCATTCCTGTAAAGACAAATAATTATATTAATTTTAACATTTTAGTGTCTAAATTATTAAAATGAAAAGTGTAACAAAAATTAATATATGTGTCCCTCCGAAATATATCGAACGACATGACAAGTGTAATAAATCAAAAGAGGGTGTCAGATAGTCCTCCTGCAAAACCTAGGTTAGCCTCCTCCTCGACTTCCGAAACATCAACCATTTCAGGTTCTGAAACCTGAACTCGCACGAGTTCTTCCTCCTCGTAATTCCTAGACGATGACGCACGTGAAAGACGACTCCTCAGAGCAAAAGTCGATGTTCCCTCCACTTCCTTCCGCGATACCCAATCGCGTCCTCGACGCTTCATAGTCTGCTCAGCTCTCTCTCTCTCATCGAGCGGATGCAATTTGACTAGACCTACCAAGTCTCAATTTGTTGGAATTCTCTGTCACTTTTCTTAAAAAAATAATTAATCGTTAATCAAATCAAAGGTAAGCGAACAAACAAGAACATGTTTGAAAATTAAAAAAAAAGAATAATAATAATAATAATAATAAACCCAAGTCTTTTATCGGAGATGCATCTCCAAAACTCCTCAGATGAATTTTCGAAAATGTATCTCCAAAAAAACCTACGACTTCCATAACCAAAGCTTTAAATCTAATAGCACCATTTTTACACCAAAATCTAATTTTAACACGTAAAAGCAAACTTTTTACAGGTTATACATAATTTAAACAACTTGAAATAGAAATACAAAGATTAAAAGGAATTGGAGAACTTACTCAAATTTAAAACTTTTAGAGTAGTTGAAATGTGTTGAAATTGAGAGTTGGAGTAAATTGTAACAAATGCAAATAAGTAGAGACAAAATTGAATGAGTTCTGAAAGTAAAGATTTTTGAAGGTTTTTGGAGTGTTTGATAGTTAGAATTTAGAAAAAATGAGAATGAAGGGTTGTTGATCGTAAGAAATGAGAATAAAAGATTGTTTGTATTTGTTACTGTAATGTCCTAATTCAGAGATGTATTTTCAAAACACCCTAATTTTAAAATTTTCGACAATACATCTCTTAAAATACCCCAAAAAAAATAAAATATAATAATACATTCAAAGATACATCTCCAAATTTTGAGGGTAAAAATAGAATTTCAGTATAAATGACTAAGAAAATATAAAGGTGGGGAAAGAAATTCCTTCGAGTTTAAAGGATATTTTGAAACAACACAATACCTTTGTTGAGATAATTCTTAACATTTTTTCCTCTAAATCATTCAAACACAAGCACTCCAAATAGCCCTCATTGTCACCACTTATATTTCTTTAATAGGATTCCCTTTCTAAGACTATAAGGGTCTGAAATTAATTTCCGAAACCATTTCAAGAGGACTAAGTTAAAAATCCTCAATATATCTATTTCCGAAACCATTTCTAAATGCATTGCTTGTATGATATAATTTGTTACGGTTTAGTTCTTCAAATCAATAAGGCAAAGATTAGTGATTGATTTTGTTTACTCGTAATATATTAATTTAAATGTATTGTTTGTAAATTTTACCTTGTTATATCATTTAATAGCCAATCACAACTCACCAACTTTGTGAAGAGCAAATTTGATACTTACCCAATGCATGTTCATTGTTTATTAAAAGAGCAAAGTGAAGGGTTGTTATCATGTTATCTTACATTAATTGTTTATCAATGGATGATGTTTCAAATCTTACTATAAAATAAATAAATTGACTACTTCGCATAAATTTTCAACCGACGAGTTATTATCATGAAAACGTAAATGCTTTGGATTTGTCGCGAAAGTGATATTAAAGGGTAAAAAAACCAAATTAGCTGGGCATTACCACTTAACAATGTTATTTAACCGAGGATCAACAATAGAGAAAACAATCAAACTTCCAAATTACAACCAAAATGATACCCAACTACGATGAATCCACATTGAAAATAAGAGCAATGTCTATGAAATTTATGTAAAGATTCAGGGCACTGCGCCTCTCTAAACAAACACCAAACAACTATCACTTAGGCTTCGGCAAATCTGCAAGGTAAAAACACATAAACGAATCAACTCCCTATGACATAACAAAGGTACGTCAAGTATTGTATTCATAAGCTTCAAAACTTAATAGTAAGATGAGTTACCCAAGCTCGGAGAGCTTAAGATGTGCTTCGGCATAATCAGCAAAGAAGGCATCTTCATCCTGCAAACATAGATGAGAATCATTTTAATAGCTTAACAGCAGACATTATATAGCTTCTCACAGAACTTAATTATGGAAAAAGATGTGGATCGTGGAGATATACATACCGCAGCATATTTCTCAACAAGAGGGCGGAATACAGAGTCAGACAAAAGTGCCTTATCACTTGGCAACTGAAGAAGGCCTTCCTTCTCACCAGTCAACAACTCACTATACATTTATCAATTAGGTCGTCAATAAAGAGAACTTAAGACTGGATAACAGGAGGCCAAGTTGAAAGATAACGTTATAAAAAACTTACGTGAAGTATGAGTTGTCAAAAATGAGAGGATTAGAAGTCCATGGCCCCTCAAATCCAGAACGCTCCTTGTGTGCAGCTCCCTACCAATTACATTAAGCATAACCAAAACAGTCAAAACCACAACATAGAGAATACATCATTATATAAACAAAGTCTGTTTAATTAGTAGTATAATATTCACATCCTGATTTGCACAATCATAATGTTGACAATTATGCAAATCTCAACATTAAAGCTTGGAAGTTATGACTTACAATGGTGTGACCACCAGATAGAGCAACAATGTCCTGATCGCTAAGCCCCATAGCTTTTCCAAACACATCCCTCAAATGGTCAGAACCTGCAATAATCAAGAATCAAATCATGAGCTAAGTAACTACAATCAATGATATGGTTTAATTCACATTACAAATCCAGATCACTGACCCTTGGTGGCATCAGGCAAACGACCCTCTGGTGGTGACTCGGGCTTGTCCTGATATAAAATAAATAAATAAAAACAAAGGACTGCTATTAGCTTCCAACAGCTATTAAGAATAAAGTCACAAAGAAAGATAAAGAATACATCATCACTGCTGTGTAAAAAGATTTAACCAGGATTTTCTTACATAGACATTGAACATGTAAGAGACAAAGAGCATTTCCAATTATCGCATTTGAATAATTATCACAATTCTAACTACAATTATGTTGTAAATTTCCGAACATGTTGTAAAGATTAACCATACACTTTTACTAAAAAAAAAAAAATCCACGGACATGAACCGTACCATTATACAACCGAAAAAGTCGTAAGCAATAATTGATTTACCAACCACATAAATGAGATTTGAAGACAAAAGTAACAGTAGTGGTCAAACATACCTCCCGTCCGGGGTGGAAAGGGACTTCAGGTCCACCAGTGATCTCAACAGCAACAACACCACCCAACTGCGTTAAAATAAACCATCAATCACATAATCACAAAAATTTAACAAATCTAAAACCAAAGCACACGGAAAAAAAAACACCAACCTGATAGAAATCAGCATAGCTCACAATAGGGAATTGCTCCTTAAGAGGCTCCAAAAGCCTGACAGCAATATCAAGACCGTTGTTAGCACCATGAGCAAGCTCAGCTGGATGCTTAATGGTTCCGAAAGGACCACCAGTCTTTGTCTTCGAATCAAAAGTACCAGCAGAGTGCCATCTAAACAAACAAATCATCACAAAAAAAATATTATCACACATGAATCAACAAAAAAAATCACAAACAGACTTAATCACAATTTAAAAAAAAAATCAAAATCTCGCAAATCGATTATCCTATCAAAAATAAGCAGATAATAAAACTTACGCCAAACGGAGAATTAAAGGAGCGCATTTCTTCTCAGCAATGAAACCTCTAAGCTTCCTCTTGGCCTTTTCAATGGCCTTCTGGTAATCAGGACTAACGGTAGGGTAAGATTTTCCCATAGCTAACGATTCTGCAACAAAATCAAAACAAAAGTTCACAAATCACATAACAGTATCATAACAGAATCAGATCATCGCGTGTATGAATAAATCGAAGTAAAAACAAGATCAAAACACGGATCTAATTTTAAAAAAATCGATTCTAGAATAACAATTAACAGCGATTCGAGCATGATACAGTTACAAAAGAGCTGAATCAAGAATCAAAAGCGATTCGAACCTCGAAATCTAAGACGAAGAAATGCCAAAGTTAAACCCTAGTGACACGAGGAGAGCACGAGCCAAGAGTGAAGAGCGTGTGTTAGAAATGAAGAACACGTAATATAAAGGGGAAGGAAGAAGAGAAAGTTCTAGTAGCTTTACTGTGAGCCGTTGGATGGTTTGAATCGTGCGGTTGTTGCTGATTTGAAGAGTTGAAGGTCAAGATGAATCTACACGTGTAAGTGACTAAATTCACACTGTGTGGATCGTTGGGTAGGTGAGGTAGGTTTGGTGAATGACGAATCAGAGGGACGGAGAAAAATGGAAAAAATGGAAAAAATGGAAAAAAGAAATATTGTGAAAGGTCGTGAGTTTTTTAGATGCGTGAAAACGGGTTTCGGTGCGTGATGAGTTATGACATTGCCACATTAATGTTGACCGTAGAAATATACACCATTGTTTTTATTTTAAAAACTATTAATTAATTATAAATAAATGTTAATTATTTTGGATTAGACAACACATGTTTTACTATTGGAGTGGTTTAACTCAGCGTCTTCACAAAGGTTTAAAAGTGTGCAGTCTAAATTGAAGATGTTGAACATTCTCTCACGTGTCTATTAAGAGAACATGATTTATATGTCTATAACGTCATTATCTTGTTTTTTGAGAATAACAGGTCCAACTTCTTTATTTTTTCGGGGCAGTTGATCAGGAAGGAGGTCACGTGCTGGACTTCATACACTCATAAGTTCTAGAAGACTTTGTTATTGGGCCTCATCGTGGCTCATTACTGAAGACTTTGACACAACGTTGGGGCTATAAATACCCTCTTACTTGAGATGGTCGGGTATTCATTCATTCATCCATCCATACTCTCATATTTTATTTGTACTTTACTTTGAACCTTACTTTGGCATCAGAGTGTCTTGTAGATACCCTTTCACTTCACACTCAACCATTGTTTGGCTTGAAGCTCGTGAACCTTGACAATCTTTTTTTATCACTAACCTTATTATTTTGTTTTCTTTAATGTTAACTTGTGGTATTTTAACTCGGTAATAATATTTTTGTCCAAAAAAAATCAGTAATAATACAAATATTATATTAAAAATAATGTATTCAGTTTTCTAGAACATTATAAATTATTATTTTTAATATTAAATTATTTTTAAAATAATTAATGATAACATAAAGAATTGTGGCTCTTAATTATTTTCTCTCAATTGCGTATATAAACAAATAATTTATCATATAAGAAAGCAATATATAATAAAAAAGACAGCAATACTCTTTTTTATTGGTCAGCAATTA